TGAACAACATACCCTCCACGAGGTACTATGAGATGTACAATATGCTAGGGCAACTTGACGTGTGCTGATACCTGTATCAGCCTGTAGAATGTGTTCTTCATGGTCATGCGTACTAGAGGCTTATGGTCTTCCTTGATACATAGTTTTTGATGCCATGGATCCTGTCACAGAATCCCGACGATAAGCAGCATCAAAGGTAAAAATCATATCTGCCTGTTCACGATATGAATTTACTGCCACTGTTAAACGGAACACTCCTCACTGCTACACACGTGCAGGGAGAACATATGGACCTACCAGACAGTTACCTACATGGACTTGTAGGTGACTGTCTGCTTGACTCGTAAACTAATACTGTTGTCTAACCTGTATTGTACGATGGATGTTGGATGTGTAAATTTGTTATTCCAGTTCTTCCAAATGTTGCCTCGTAAGCAACGGATCTGCAATTTGTGCAATAAATCCTCGGCAAAAGTTCTCCCATGGTGAGTAATCGCAAGCCATCAGGACAGGTTGAAGCATCCCTGCATTATTATTGTCTACTGCATAAACCAATTGTTCTAGGCGGCACCCCCAGATAAAAATCCAAGGGATTTCACTAGGGGTAATGTGAGGGTCATGTGACCGGTCCTTACCTACGTATCTACCTTTCATGGTATATGTCAGCTAATGCATCGCGAACAGTGTGACTAAAATATGCTGGAGCCCCAGCATGCATGAATCATTTCGTATTAGCACATGTACATCCTCTAGCAGGTCTAGAAGTGTGTTCGAATTCCTTGTAGTCAACTCCTGTTAGACGTGCTGGGAGAACATATGGTCCTACCAGACAGTCACCTACAATTTGCGCTCACACATTAATCGTAAACAGATGACTACATTGTACCATGGAGATTTCGATCCGCGTACAAATTTTTGTTGTGTAAATTTTTTACTTCATCTTTGCCAAATGTTGCGTCACCCGTAAACCAGACTGAAGAGAGAAACAACTGGCCGGAAGTTTATGCAATAAAACATCGGCAAAAGACCCTGTACACGTTGCAAATGATACGGATACAGGAGCTGCACTTGAAGTACCCTCCATGCAGTACTATGAGATGTACAACAAGCTTGACGTTTGCTGATACCTGGATCGTCTCAGACAGCCTGTAGAATGTGTTCTTCATGGTCATGCGTCCGAGAGAATGTCGGTCTTCCTCGATCCATAAATTCTGGTAGCACGGATTCCATCACAGAAACGCGACAATAAACAGCAGCAGAGGTTGGATAACTCGGCTGCCTTCGGCCTGGGAAAGCAAACTGAAACAGCCGTACAGCCTCGCGTCCATTACAGTTCGCGTGGTCTTGTGTAAAAATCATATCTGCCTGCTCCCGATATGAATAGCCTGCCATTGTCAAGTGGAACACTTCACACTACACATGTTAAACGATGAAGACAGACAAGTAAAAATGTACACGAATGACAAATGAAACTCAATCTACATGGCAACACAGCGTCATCTGCTATAAACTTCCTTTGAACTTAACTAAAAAACGAAGAATTTGCAGACATGTTTATATGGATTTTATCCTTGTTTTCTGTGAGGAACCTGCGTTCCAAGGTATCTGTCTATATTTCTGAGATGAGCACTATGTACACTATTTATATTATTCGGACTATTGTCCGAATAATGTAATTATCCACTTAAGGACACATGACACAGTGGATAAAGGCGTTGGTTAGATCCAGTGACAGGACACGAAGAGTTGTGAGTTCAATACCTGGTTAAGGCAGTGGAGTACTTGGAGAGGTGAATTAACAGGAGATAACTGATAACTGACATCCATTAGGCATGGTACGTGGAACTAGAACAGTCTACACCATTGAGCAATACATTTTGTCTGTAGTTGAAGGCCTACAATTGCGTTCAAAATATCTGTAGTCAAAGCCATAAAATTGGGTTCAAAATGTTTAGATTTCGACTTTAAATAACCCATAGAGGTGTTGATATGCCACCATTCGACTTCAGCCAAACAAGTACTTTCGAAGTAAAGAATTATCCCCTTTTTTAATTAGGTTGGCATTTGTAAAATCAAACTTTATATCCTCCTTGGAATTATCCATATGGATTGCCAAACACATCTTTATATATATATATATATATATATATATATATGATGGGTACCTCGATATGATGTAAAGCTTGTCTTGTTGTATCAATTACGACTGAGTTGTAAGTTCGATCCTTACTGTGTGCTCCATACTTTAGGCGTTGTGCCATATCTAAACTATGCTTAATATATCGTTGATTAGTTGAAAGAGTATGACTATCGCTGACAACGGTTTTCATTCTCGTGAGAGAAAATGCCTCTTAAAATTCGCTAGTAGTTGCAACGGTTCAAACTAAGCTGTTTTGTACAGGGCCTGGCATATTTTGTAATTTCTGTCCCGTTTGCTATGAGGTTTAATGAGAGAAAGGATCGGTTTCTGCTGATTTTCACAAGCACTTCGCATGTTTATTTATTCACCGCGTAACACAGATCGTAATTTGTCAACCAATATGACGCCTCTTGTGGCTAAAGAGGCCAGAGAGAGAGATAGAGAGAGAGGGAGTGATATTTTGGCCGATTCGGCACATTTGCCCAAACTCGTTACACGCTCTTGGAATTTTGTATGGCTCCAATTTTTTTCGATCACAAGCATCTGTTTCCCACTTAGGCACTTCTTTATCGCAGGCTGCGAGGCATTTTGAATCGCTTCCTTGATTTTCGATGAAGTCGACGGTCGTAGAGCAAACCACCTTAGAGGCTTTGTATAGGTATTCTGCTCTCGTCAAAGGGAAATGGAATGAACGGCCCTGCGTCAGTCTTTCACGATAATGGCCGCTAAGATGTTGATTACATTAGCCGTTAAGCGAACCACTGTGTTTGGCGAGTGGAATATCCAGTCGATAGCAAGAATCGATGTCAAAGAGCGATGAACAAACATTTATTTATCTCTACCTCAGTTATTTCATATCTATCTATCTATCTATCTATCTATCTATCTATCTATCTATCTACATCAATCTATCGCAGTCTTTTCATATCTATCTATCTATCTCAGTCGTTTCAAATCTATCTATCTATCTATCTATCTATCTATCTATCTATCTATCTATCTCAGTCGTTTCATATCTATCTATCTATCTATCTATCTATCTATCTATCTATCTATCTATCTATCTATCTGAGTCTTTTCATATATGCCTGTGTCTTTTCATATCTATCTATCTATTTATCTATGTCTTTTCATATATATGTATGTATGCATGTATGTATGTATCTATCTATCTATCTATCTATTTATCTAAGTCTTTTCATATCTATCTATCTATCTATCTATCTATCTATCTATCTATCTATCTATCTATCTATCTATCTATCTATCTCAGTCGTTTCATATCTATCTATCTATCTATCTAAGTCTTTTCATTATGTATGTATGGATGTATGTATGTATCTATCTATCTATCTGTCTATCTATATCTATCTAAGTCTTTTCATATCTATAAGTGTAAGTGTGTAGATATACACATATATATATATATATATATATATATATATATATATATATATATATATACAGATATCAATAGATAGGAAATGGTGTGCTAGACATCTCGACAGATAGATATGAACATGCAATCATCCACACTCACACACGTATATTTGAAAGAAAAAAAATGTCATTTCAAAATATACTGATTTAAAAATTAAAATTCTATCACGTGACTTGTCTAATTAGTATTTCGCTTGTCTAATTAAAATAACTTCGCTGTTAGCATGCTCTGGGAAATTGAAATACGTTTGGTAATAAAAGTGCTGGTGCTTGACCTATATTATCGAGCAATGGAGGAAGATAGCCAATCAGCTCAGGAATGAGAGAGGGTGTCTGTTTGTATATGTCTGTACGTGAGTGTGCATATATGTGTGTGAAAGAGAGAGAGAGAGAGAGAGAGAGAGAGAGAGAGAGAGAGAATGCTTGTGGTTATGTGTTAACGAGGAGGAGGCGACTGCATATACACAAGGGGGATGAGTGTGTCGGTAGAATTATGTAGAAACGTTAAGGAATTAATAAAAGACAGAGAAAGAAAAGAAAGAAGAAGAAAAGAGATACAAGGAAAAATAAAGAGGGGAACCGTAAGGAAAAGAGAGAGAGAGAGAGAGAGAGAGAGAGAGAGAGAGAATCAAAAGGAAGACATACCAAAAAAGAAATAGAAAAAAAAGGAAAAAGAGAAAAATATAGCGAAAGAAAGATTTAAAGAGAGAGAGAAAAAAAAAGAAAGAAAAAGGGAAGAACTAAAATGGAGAAAGAAAGAGTAAGAGAAAACGGAAGGGAGGGAAAGGATAGAAAAAAAAAGAAAAAGGAAAAAAAACGAGTGGAAAAAGATAAACGGAAAAAAAGAAGAAAAAGAATGATAGAAAAAAAGAGAGAGAAAGAGCGAAAAAGAAAAAGAATGCAAGAAAGAGAGAGATACAGAAAAGAGTAAAAGAAAAAAGATAGAAAGCAAGAAATAAAGAAAGAGTATAAAAAGACAAATAAGAAAGAGAGAAAAAGCGTAAAAAAAGAAAAATAGTGAAAGTGAAAGTAGGTTAAATAGCGAGAAATGGAGAAGAAAAAGATAGAAAAAAATTTAAAAGATAGAGAAGGAGAAAATAAAAAAGTACAATAGAGAAAAAGAGTGCAAGTGAAAGTAATTTAAACACAGAGAAAGGATTGAAGAAGAAAAAGAAAGAAAATGAAAGAGAGAGAGAGAGAGAGTAATGGCATGATAGAGAAAAATAATGAATGTGAAAGTGAAAGTGAAAGTAAGTTAACTAGAAAGAAAGAAAGAAAGAAAGGGAATGTAGCCAGATGATGAATGAGAGTCTAGAAAGAATGAAAGAAGTAGAAAAAGAAAGAAAGAAGTAGAAAAAGAAAAAAAGAAGTAGAAAAAAACAAGAGAGAAAGGGAATATGGCCAGAAGATGAATGAGAGTCTAGAAAGTAAGTAAGAAAGAAAGAAGTAGAAAAAGAAAGAAAGAAGTAGAAAAAGAAAGAAAGAAAGAAAGAAAGAAGTAGAAAAAGAAAGAAAAAAGAAATAGAAAAAAAAATAAAGAAAGGGAATATGGACAGATGATGAATGAGAATCTAGAAAGAAAGAAAGAAAGAAAGAAAGATAGAAAGAAAGAAAGAAAGAAGTAGAAAAAGAAAGAAAGAAAGGGAATATGGACAGATGATGAATGAGAATCTAGAAAGAAAGAAAAAGAAAGAAAGAAAGAAAGAAAAAAAAAGAAAAAAAAAAAGAAAGAAAGGAATATGGCCAGATTATGAATGAGAATCTAGAAAGAAAGAAAGAAAGAAAGAAAGAAAGAAAGAAAGAAAGAAAGAAGTAGTAAAAGAAAGAAAGAAAGAAGTAGAAAAAGAAAGGAAATATGGACGGATGATGAATAAGAGACTAGAAAGAAAGAAAGAAAGAAAGAAAGAAAGAAAGAAAGAAAGAAAGAAAGAAGTAGAAAAAGAAAGAAAGAAGTAGAAAAAGAAAGAAAGAAAGAGAATATGGCCAGATTATGAATGAGAATCTAGAAAGAAAGAAAGAAAGAAAGAAAGAAAGAAGTAGTAAAAGAAAGAAAGAAAGAAGTAGAAAAAGAAAGGAAATATGGACGGATGATGAATAAGAGTCTAGAAAAAAGAAAGAAAGAAAGAAAGAAAGAAGTAGAAAAAGAAAGAAAGAAGTAGAAAAAGAAAGAAAGACTATCAAATGGAAACAGATGTTGAAAGTGACATGGAAACAATAATTCAAAATTTTGAACAATTAACTGTCTGCAATTATTTAAAAACTTTTAAAAATATGAATTCCTCTCCTCCCCTCTTCTTGCTACACGAACACAAGACTAAAAGTTTTTTTGTTTTTTTTGTTGTTGTTGCTTTGTGCATTTAATAATCTTTGGAAAAAAATGGAAAGAAAATTTGGTGGAGAAAAAAAGATACTGTGTATATCATGAAAACTAAAATGAAATAAAACATAACACACCACCCCCACGCCACACTCACACACCCATACACGCTTAAGGAGGAGAGTTTTAACAGATGACAGAAAATGTGATGCCAAAATCGAAAAGCGCATTGGGAGAATGTAAAATGTCTTTTTAAAACTAAACAAAGAATGAAACATGAAAACAGCGATGGAAACAAAGGTAAGAGTGTGTCACGGGTACGTAACGTCAGTCCTCCAATATGGCTTGGTTGGCTTGGTTGGTTGATTTTGTTTAGCGGCCTATCAACACATCTATGGGTTAATTAATACCAAAATCTAAATATTTTCTGCGCAATTTTATGGCTTCAACTACAGATATTTTGTACATCATTTTATACTTTCGGAGCAGTCGTATTTTTTATAGATATATCGTTTGTATATGATCTATTGTAGATGTTTTATGTTTTGGAGATATACCGATTTCTTTAAGGTAAAGCTTTTTGTGAACGGAATAAGTCTTTTCAAATAATTTTCTAATGGCTATCTCCTTCTGTGTTTTGGATTGATTGTTTTTGTTTAAAGGCATATAAACACCTCCATGGGTTATTTAATGCTACAATCTAAGTATTTTGTACGGAATTTTATGCTTTTAACTGCATATATTTTGTAGATAATTTTATATCTTTAGTGTAAAGGTATATTTTTAGGTATATAGTTTGTAGGTTATAAAATATATACCGTCTATTTCATGCGACCTTTGAAGATCTAATTTCGAAGCTAATTTGACGACAGTACATGGAGCTATATTTTGGTCAACGGTGTAGCCAGGGCCAGCAGTACATATGCTAATTTTATATCTCGTGTATGATACGACCTTCTTAAAATTAGCTTCAAAATTAGGCCTTCAAATGTATGGTACGCGAGTTTATACGGTATTTTTAAAGGTATTGTTGTTAATTTCACTACGAAAATGAATTACTTGTAATTTTACGTAAATTATTAGGACTGTTATCCTCATCTTCAGTGCCATATTCACAATGTTTCAGTTGTTATAATCAATATATAAACTGACCCCTCACATTTTGGTCACATTAATTTCTATACATTTACTAGCATCATGGCCCGGCGTTGCCCGTGCTTGATTCAAAAATCGTACGACTCATACAGCAATCGCTATCACTATATTTTTTGCCTTTCCTTGCCTTTAAAGGAGTGCCCTTTGCCGGGCTGATGTTGCTACATGCCTTACTTCTTGCCTATCTCACACTGCGAATTTTTTTCGAAGCTCTATACTAAACATTAAATCTGTTACGAAAAAAGAACTAAACAAAATGAACACAAAACGATCAGATGTAAAAAAGGACTCGTAACTGGAAAAACCGAATGAAAAAAGAATGTTAACAACAAATACTTTTTCACACCCGAACCAGTTCTGCGGAATCAGAATCAATGTTGAGTTTAAGCAAGCGAATGAGCCAATTGGAGTAAAGTGACATGCAGATTTAAATTTTTCCTACTTGTGACGAATGCAGCTATCGATTTTTTTTGCATGCTAGCATGCTAGTTAACATTCGTATCAGTCAGCTGTTGGCTCTCACGCTGGCCAGTAGAATCTTCCTGCCTATTTGTGGCAGCCAGCTATAGGCTCCCACTCTGGCCAGTAAAAAATGGCCGCAAACTACATGAAAACTGGCGTAGAAGCATGAAAAAATCGATTATTTCCAGTTGGGAACTGCAAAGTCGGTATTGGCCTTTCCGCTAACTCGGAGCATCTGCATGCAAATTTTGGTGCACATCCGTCGAAAATTGCGGCCGTGCATTCGTTACACACACACACACACACACACACACACACACACACACACACATACTGCCTTTTATAGATAGAGATATTCTAGAGAATGTAATTAAATCCAAAAGACATGCCTGTTTAGCTAATCAGGATTTCATTGATTGATTCATTTTCTACGGTTTATCAACCATTTGTAGGCCAGACAATATAGTCAGATTGCAAGAATTTTTTTTACTGATTTTGGAGATAATAGTGATTTAGTGATAGAAGTCGTACTAACTGACCAATATCTATCTATCTATCTATCTATCTATCTATCTATCTATCTATCTATCTATCTATATGCCTTCATATCTATCTATCTCTTTATATTAGGTTGGTGCAAAAATAATGACGTAATAATGTCGTTTTTTACGTTAAAAAATACGTCAAAAACGACATTATTACGTCATTATTTTTGCATCAACCTAATATATATGCCTTCATATGTATGTATGTATCTATCTATCTATCTATCTATCTATCTATCTATCTATCTATCTATCTATCTATATGCCTTCATATCTATCTATCTATCTATCTATCTATCTATCTATCTATCTATCTCCGATTTCCGTCCAATATTATCCCACCCTTTACTTCAGTCAACTTCGGTGGACATCACAAAGGATAATCAATGTTTACCTCATATCCGAAAGACATTTTTTTCTGACCACTCGCATAACATCTTGTCACAATAAAATAACATCGTAAAAATTTTCATTTGCCTATAAAAAAAAACCCATGTGTTACAGACCAATGGGAAGAAGTGAAAAGACACGACAAAAAGACAATGTGAGAAAAAGCAAAAAGAAAGGGAATAAGCAGAAAGAGAGAGAAAAATAAGGGGGGAGAGAAGGGAAAAAGAAAATGAGGAAAGGAGAGAGAAAGAGAGAGAGAGAGAGAGAGAGAGAGAAATCTTTGCTATGCGTTCAGAAATTACTATTCCAACACTTAAAATAACCTGTTACCCAACTATTCCCTTTATAGAGGGGTCGATATGCCATAAACCAATTTATTCACATCTATCTATCTATATATCTATCTATCTATCACAGTTTATTCATATCTATCTATCTATCTATCTATCTATCTATCTCATTTTATTCATATCTATCTATCTATCTATCTCATTTTATTCATATCTATCCATCTACTATCTATCTATCTATCTATCTATCCCAGTTTGTTCATATCTATCTATCTATCTATCTTATTTTATTCATATCTATCTATCTATCTATCTATCTATTACATTTAGCGAGATGAATATTCGAGAAATTTCGTTAGAAAATATGTGTTTTCTGACAGGAATCGAACCTTCATTCCTATTTATAAACAGTAATTCGGGCTTTGCCAACCAGACGTGTGGCGTCTCTGTAGCCCGTAATGACGTTTCCCGTATACAAATACCTGGGCTTTGCCTCCCGCGTATATTTTCTACGAAATTTCTTCAATATTACAGTAAATATAATTAATTCTGTTTGATTAAATATACATAAATAAATTGTACCTCTTAAAATAACGTATAAACAAAAAATATATTAAATAATTGTCGGACTTAATTCATTTCATAATATGCTGTCATTGTTTACGTTAAGATACGTTTCCTGAGCAGAAAAGATCGATCGAGAAAAATCGTCGAAGATTGTGTATTTGTAAACAGTAATTTAGATATTGCTAACCAGACGCTTCTCTTTAGCTGAATGTTATAGCACGTCAGATCAAATGACGTTTTTCCAAATAGGAATGCAGTTTCGATTCCTGTCGGAGAACGCATATTTCATACGATATTTGTCGAAGATTCAGGCGGGTAAATGTAAGTAATATTGTTTAATTATAAAAAAAAAACTGAGCAATTATTTAATAAATTGTATGTATAAAAATAACATATAAACAGAAAATATATTGAATAATTTTCGGACTTAATCCATTTCACACACACGCACATATACATACATACATATATATATATATATATATATATATATATATATATATATATAAATATATCTAAATTAAATAATTAAGACAGACATAAGGTTCCATGACTATAATTTATTTCCTCAGAAAATATATTTTTCCAGGTTCATCAGGTCACTTCTCTAGTTACAAAGAAATTTGGTTTCTTTTATTTTTAATACAAGTTTTTGAGGGATAGTTTTAGATTGATATAAGGCGACAGTGGTGGTAGGAGGGGGGAGGATTATAGAATGATCTCTATTGGAAATGAAAAGCAGGGATAAGATTGTTTTTAAACCATCTTTAATAATCTAAGTAGGTTCAAGTGTACCCACTTAAGAGGCCAGACAATTTGACCTGTTGAATAATGCTTAGGCAGGAAGATAAAAGAAGAAAAAAAGAAGAAAAATTGTAAAGCAGGGGACGGGGGACAAAAGTAAGAAGAAAGAAAGAATTAAACGGTGTAGTGGGTAGGAAGACGAAAGAGTGCGTTATCATATGTAGGGATATCACGGTATCACTTGGAAACACGCATCAATATAATTTATTAAATCTATTAAAACTTACCAACAAAGTAGGAATAAAATAAAATAAGATATATTAAAATATCATACTTATTATAAAACCCAGGTTGTGTGTGTGTGTGTCTGTACGCTTATATATTGGATCGAATTTCCTACATTTTTCAACCGATTTCAACAAAACTTCACAGGACTACGTAAAATTACCTTGCGGTGGTTCTGACAGTGCCAAAAATTGGAAAAACACAATTGTTTTTGCACGAAATCAATTTGAAAACACGATTAAGAGGCATCACGAGAATGGGGACAACTCATAACGAGTTATACTTATTATAAAATCCAGGTTGTTTGTGTGTGTGTTCGTTTATATATGGGATCGGATTTCCTACATTTTTCAACCAATTTCAACAAAACTTCACTTTTTTTTGGCAGGTAGTCTTTCTTATTGTCTTGCACACTTTTTTCTTTATTTTTACATTCAGAATGCTTTAAAAATTCCATTTACAAGACAATTGTTTATAATAAAATTCTATTCAATCGGTAGACTCATCACGATTGAAAACAATGTTTTTGTTTGAGTTTGGGTTTGACCAATTCGTAAAAAAAAAACAAAAAAAAACTAATTAAGACATGCGTGTCCGTCAACCTTAAACAATAATCTTTGTCAATTTTATTTTTCAGTCTTTATGATGGTCGATACTTGATCTATCTCTTACTGTTACATCCCCGGGCAACGCCCGGCTCTACTGCTAGTAGCTAATAATATTATTAATCCTGATTAATACAATTATAATTAATATAGGACAATATATAATATATTACAGATTATTAAAAAGTGTTTTATATATATATATATATGTGTGTGTGTGCGTGTGCGTGTGTGTGTGTGTGTGCGCGCGCGCGCCCGTGTGTATATGTGAGTGCTAAATTTCTCAGACTAAATCTGTAGAGAAGACAAACTGAATAAAACAGACAATTGAAAAATAGTACTTAGCCCCTGTCGACGAGTTTCTTCATTAGACTTTACAAAAGCAAGGGATGATTAGCAAAAACAAAATGTGTAGTCACACGAAAATCAAAAAGAAAAAAAAAGAAAAAGAAAAAAGGAAAAGAAAAAAAAGAACTAATATCTACAAAGAGGCTTACACAGGAGCGTTTATTTTTTCTAATTTTTGAATTTCATGTTACAAAAATCATTTCACTTTCATATATATATATATGTTATGGTCCGGTTCCTTGTACCACGGTGATGGTCCAAGGTAGAACCAATAAAGAAGAACGCGAACACAGGTATGGAATAACACAGATATATTACAAACAGGAATATATACAGAGAAGTAGAAGTGTTAGTATGAACAATCAGGTTTAGTAGAGAGAACAATGTAGTCTCGACCAGTATCACTATTCCAATGTCTTGTAGTAATTGTCTGAACACGACTCTGTTTCGGACTGCCTCTGACTCGACTCTTGACTCGACTTGAACTATTGACTGACTTGAACTACTGACCCGAGTTGAACTACTGACGATAATCAGTCACCCCTACCCCACGAGGGCGTCATGTGGCACAAGGCCTTTTTAACGTGGGATCTCCGAGCCCGTGGGCTCGGCCGAAAATATGCCCATTGAACCCGTATAAACGGGTTCAGGGTCGGTTTACCTCCCCGAAAGAGAATTCGCCCTTCAGCGCAGCCTGCTTCGGGTTCCTCCCGCCCGAAGGCAGATAGTTCAACCGATCTGTCGTTCAAGAGCTGAGCGACTGACAATATTCAGTCACCCCCCCACGAGGGTGTCATGTGGCACAAGGCCTTTTAATGTGGGCATTCCCGAGCCATTAGGCTCGGCCAAAAAATAACCCATTTGAACCCGTATAAACGGGTTCTGGGCCATTTTACCTCCCGAAGGAGACTCCACCCTTCGGCGTAGCCTCCTTCGGGTTCCTCCCGCCCGTAGGAAGAGAGTTTAACAGTGCAGTTAGTTCAGAGTTGAACGACTGACAATATTCAGTCACCCCCACGAGGGTGTCATGTGGCACAAGGCCTTTTAACGTGGGCATTCCCGAGCCATTAGGCTCGGCCAAAAAATAGCCCATTTGAACCCGTATAAACGGGTTCTGGGCCGATTTACCTCCCGAAGGAGACTCCGCCCTTCGGCGTAGCCTCCTTCGGGTTCCTCCTGCCCGTAGGAAGAGAGTTTAACCGTGCAGTCGCTCAGAAAGTGAACGACTGACTTCTTGCTTACTCCTGAGGCGCAGTATTTATTAAGTATTGAATAGTCCATTATTATTATTAGTTAAGATCCCATAACAATATATATATATATATATATATATATATATATATATATATATATATATATTATTTATTCCAGAATTATGACAGAAATATGTTATAAAATCACTACAAAATAGGTATTTTGTTTCAATACTTCTAGAGTTTTATCAAGTGATGGTGCTTGATGAAGAAATATATATATATATATATATATATATATATATATATATATATATATATATAAGGTGCACAGGTGTATAAGACGCAGCAGGGCAAGTCAAGAAAAAATTAGTAAAATTATTAGTAAATCGTACAGCCTAGACTATATTTATGAAGTAATATTTTGGTTAAACAAGCCATGATTCCAATTAAACGAAAAATAAGAAAAAGAACACAAGTCTATAAAAACTTTATTATATCCTTTATATGATCTGTAAAACTGGCGTCTTGTAATCGTCTTATTGAAATAATTAGAATATGAAAATTCAGATTGTATTTATACTAATGCAACCGGAAGTTTTCGCAAGAAAAATATTTTGCAAATATATAATTTGAATTTATTGCATATAATTTTAGTGAAACAAAGTACTAATATTAAATGTGATGAAATTAATATAATGAATGTTATCAATGATAAAACTTTTAATCTGAATAATAGCCTTTTAAATAATGACAATAGGTATATGAAAATTAGTCTAAAGTTTAAGCTAATACAAGTAGTTAATTTCGGCCGACTAGCGCGAATTTTAAACTTCCGTTTTACATATTAGGTTAGTGCAAAAATAATGACATAATAATACCGTTTTTTGACGTTAAAAAATACGTCAAAAAACGCAAGGGAATTACAAAAAAATTTTTAGCAAAAAAATTCGCCTTATATGCCATCAAAAATATATATATATATATATATATATATATATATATATATATATATATATATATATATATATATATATATATTAATCCGTTGGTATAATCTAAGTGAAACATTAACACAATATGAAATTTTAAAGATTGAATATTAAAGGTTAAAACTGAATTATCAAAAAGCGTTTAATGTTTATTTTCTAAACAGTGCAAAATATTTCATACAATTGGAATTAAGACACCATGAGTTAACCAAGGTTAACTAATGGTGTCTTAATTATAATTATATATATATATATATATATATATATATATATATATATATATATATATATATATATATATATATACAGTGGGTAGCAAAAGTATTTAACATTGGTTTTTCTTACATATCTCAAAAATAACAGATCAATTTCACTGAAACTTATAGGAAATATTTAAACGAATATTGTCGATCAAAACATAGAAGGAAAATTTAAAACCACTGTCTTGAGAAAAATTTATTAACAATAAATAAAATATATATATGAACAAAATAAACGACGAAATCTCCACAAATATTCTTAAATGCCTATAATTGATAACACAAGTCATTGGTTTATACCAACGGATTCCCATACTTAATACTTCTCGTTTTCAACTTTCACG